TCTGCGGTGAAAAAACGCGAGATCCGCCCCCCCGTTTCTCCCTTCCATCCGCCGTTTTGCACGTCACTCGCGGCCAAGAACGCGGCAAATTGAAGGTGTCAGTCGTGCTGGAATATAGATCGGGGGCCCGTCCGCGTGCCCGCCGTCGAGAGCGAAGTTCCATGCCGACCAACACCGCAAGAATCTTATGTACATGGCGGAAAATCAATCCAAGCGCGGCTAAAAGATATTCATCCATTCAGTGGCATATATTTTAGAAAATTAAATAAGTGCAAAATTAACGGGGTTAATCTCTATTAATCTCTCTGTTTAATAATGCAAAATAAAATTTAGATTTTTAACAAATTACTCAGAGCCAATAATTATGAGTCATTATAATTTAATTAAAAAGAAAGAATATATATATATATATATATATATATATATATATATATATATATGTATATATATATATATAATATTTTTATTAAAAGTAGTATATAAATAGTATAAGACAATTGTTTTAAGCAGATTATTCCATAGAAATTTATTATGTAATATTTTAGAGCAATTAATAATAATTTTGTGCAACAGATATTTTTAGTACAAGTATTTTTATTAAAAAAAAGTAAATTTTCAAATAAGAAATTATTGCCTCGATTATTGCAAAATAAAACTTACTCGGGATGCTTGTAACAGGATTACAATCTTATTGTTAGACAAAATTGTCGAGAATGAATAACGGTCGCAACGACGGTAGTCTGTCATTACTTAATCAGAGATCTGCTCCAGTTTACCAACATAGTGGCTAGTTTAACATCGGCAGATCGAACACGGCAGCGTGAACAAGAATCTACAGACGTAGACGGATAATTTCATGCATCGAGTAGCGCGGTAGCTAAATAATTCAAGAGTCCCGGCGGGTCTAAACGAATTGTTCGTCGAGCGTTGTAAATCAAGAAGCACACGCGGAGTGATTATTACCTGCCGCGCTTAAGAAGGCGCAAACTAACGACCATGACATAACGCCGGGAAATGATCGAGGCGAACGAAAATGTTAATTGCGCGACAATATTCCGCATCGATTCTTACAAGCTCGCCCATCACGATACCGATCGTATCATAAAATTTTATAGGAATTCGTCTTTCATTCGCAGGATCAGATGCTGACTTTTTAAAACTGATATATTTCTCCCTTTTTAATAAGATAAAAAAAGTCTAAGTGTATTATATTAAAAGAAATGCATGTGTCATTTCATCATCTATTCAATATTCAACTTCAAAAAATTAAACTCTCCTGTATGTGACAAACTGATAAAAATATTTTTTTATTTTCTTCTTTCCTCTTTATAAAAGAAAAAAATTAGGCACTCTGTATAGGATTATAAATTTCATTAATTTCCATATAGACTGTTCCTGACCGTTCATTATACACGAGAGAATATATGCACAAGCGCGAATCGGTATACGTGCGTACGCATGCGAGACCGGAGGGCAATGTGATTACGCAATGTGAAAGTCGTCGATGGAATTCACTCTTACTTCGACTTCGCCCTGACCTCCGATATATAATGAGAGCGATCTGAATAATCTGGTTCGTCGTGTATTTGGCAATGGACCTGTAACCGCTTTAATGAGTATTAAGTGTTCCGCCTTTTGCCTTTCGAAGGTTTAATGTAGGTGTGCGACTACGCACATAATATTCAGATTAGAGGACGGCGTCACGCGCTGATGAAAAGATTGATCGAGCGATAAATATCGCTGCTTATGCATCGTCTTTTACAAGTTAAATTTCGAATCGGCAGAAGTCATGAATATTTAATCAACGCAAGGCTCGTGAGACACTTTTACGAATTTCGCATACGTAATTAATTAATCCTACTGAATATCGTCAATGTCAATGTCTCGTTTATAGCCATTTAACATTTTTATTAGTCATCTATGCTACGTATAGAAGTGTAATCGGTTTTTTCCTATATATCCTATATATCATTTTTAGCTCAGACGGTGATTGGTTACTACATTAAAAGCTAACGCAATATTATATCGTTGAAATAAAAATTTTCGATATTGATCCATCGAAGAAAGGATTATTTCAGACCGCAAAGAAGATTAAGCTTTTATCAAGATTACATCCAAAGAAGCCTTGATCGTCGATTCAACAGCCGGATGTGTATGATACCGCGATGTGTTTGAGTAACGGTTCGTACCGAACCATGAAACTTCCGAGGTTGGCCATTCGTACGGTATCTCGTAAATAACTGTGTAACCGCGATAGTTTTTCGTGTCATCTCGTGAACGCCACAGATTTTTGCCTTTTTTTATAAGTATTTTCTATAGCAAAACTACATATTTTTTAAATATATTAATTAATTTCTTAGAAATATGAAACATTCAACAATGAAGTATTTCTATGGTTGAAGCAATTGGAATATATAGAATACAAGAAAAAGAAGAGAGAAGACGGAAAGAGAAAATTTAATTCATTCAAAGCGAACAGGAGGGGAAGTACAAAAGTATCAATTGAGTTTCGATTCTAAATCGATTAAACCGAACGCGAATTACTACCGGAATTACTATTTTGTACCTGACATCGAGATATAGTAAGCGATTCAAGGAAAGCCTGGATGTGTAACAAATCGAGAGCGAGATCGATCTCAGCCAAGGCGAGCACGAGCTTACTGATGAATGAATTGACATGATAGAAGTCGTAATGGATATAATCGGAATCGATTTCTTCGTAGACGTAGGCGATATGTGCAACGAGAAAGTTCTTCGATCAATTAATATCTCGCAAGCCTTACGGAAGTCGACGAAAGACGCAAAACCCACGTTTCTTTACATGCGTTTCTCAATCTTTATTACGCAGTTTGATTCTCAATAGAAACGCAAAAACGCATAGGCGCGCATAAATCGCTTAAATTTAATGACAAGTGCATGCATCGTGAACGTTACGTAAAGTCGGCATCTGACAGCTATAGTTACAATCGGTCGGGAGAATAATTTTATAATAATTCACGCTATAATAGAACTGTAATAGAAATATCTCTGTACTAACAAGCTATTGGAGGATCTCGTTAACTTGAGATACTTTCTCTTCATTCAGAACTGGTTACTCAATTAATTGCAACTTGTCTTGCGTACTTTCCTCATTTATAATATTTCATATCTTTTTGATATTTTGTTTTTACATGAAAATAATTATTACAGATGGAAAAGACGTGATAGATTTACTCGCATATTTCATGTCTCGACGGCTATGAATGGAATGCATAAAGATTTTATTGCGACGATATGTGCGATTGTAATACCTTTTAATGCCTCCCAAATTTATCCCAGTGACGCGCAGAAGAGGCGGAATAAAAGTGGGAAGAACCTAATTAGACACATTCAAAGTGAATTTATTGCACACATTAATTCGCATCTCGCATTTATCTCTGTCCTCCGCGAAGGGACATTACATTTTAATCTGGCTATCACGTACCGTGAAGACCGATTAAGGATAAATTCGAAATTGCCTGTAAACGTCCGGATGTGCCGATAAAACATTCATGATATCCATTCGCGGATAGGACGTAACGATTGCGGGGATTCGTACAACACAACAGGCTCATTGTAAATCAATTCAAAATGGCGAAAACGCGATGTGTATAAATCGCTTGCGAAACGGTACGACGATTTATATGCTCGTATTGTAAATACCGTGCCGCACACCACACGAGAGCGAACACACGTTTATATTCGGCTATAAATTTTCGCGCGATTGCTCCTGCGTCGCGCCGCAAATCGACGGATTAGCGATTTAATCGAAGTTCTCATGACAGCGCGATCCTCGGATCGCTGTCGAAGATTCTCACAAGTTCGATCTTCTCGATTGATCTCTCGCATAAATAATTAAATAATATTAAAATTGTATAAAATTTATTTTTCAATATATATTTAATTGATCAATGGGCTATAAATGATAAAGATTTCTCGGCAGAAAAAAATGTTTAAAAAATATTTATTGATTTATAATCGTGTATTATCGTGATTTATAGTCGTACCAATATATTAAATTTAGCAAGAGAAAAATGTTTAAAAGCGTACTAAATTTATCGATGCAAAACCGTGTATATTAAATCGTATCAATATATTAAATTTAATAAGATTTATATTGCGCGCTATCGAGGATTAAGGAAAAGGAATCGCGACGATAGCCTTAGCCGCACGTAACGGTTGCGGGTTTAATGAAAATTATAGTTAAGCGCGATACGTAGAGGCATAACTCGATCAGTTATGCATCTACGCCTGGTACAACGACTTAAATTGCCTTTATGAAACTGGATCTTAGAATCTCGTTAGGCCGGGCTGTAAATGTCGATGTTCGTTTCGAGACGCGGATCGCCGTCGTTCCAAAGTGGGTCAAATTGACATTGTGATTTCGTAAAGGATTATTAGTTGCTGGCCGCGGTGATTTTCAGCTTAGCGTGCTCTCGGACGTAGATAGGTTTATGAAACTAGTCGGCGCGAAACGAGACGGCGGCCGGTTTTTCTCCCCGCTACGCGAAAGCGCGCGGCTCAAAGTGGAACGAGTTTCCACGGCGTAACGCGTGTGCAGCAACGGTAACGTTTGTCACGTTCCGCGTGGAGAATGAAGCCATGAAGCGCTAACGAACGCGCTAGATGAAACTAGGCGCGGAATGACGTTGCACACGACTGACACACGTGTTTGCGTCGCCTCGTGTCTCCTTGCACGAGAAAGCGAAATCCCGTAAATCCCGCTGTCAATGAAATGTCGCGTGTTTCACGACAACGGCATTTCTTCTCCATACAGAGAAACTCTTGATTTTAATTCTTTGTAGATGAAAAGAATGCCTTCCTAGAATAATCCTAAGAGAAACGTATGAAAACCTAAGATGCCGACAAATATGTTATTAATATTTATATATTTTTATTTTTATTATTTTTGTAAAAATCTATTTTCAACTACAATATACAATTTTCCCATTATGTCTCATGTAATCTTATTTATATTGCAGGCTGGTTCTCAGTGGTTTCCAATAATAGCGGTACCGGAAATGCTAGAGTGTACAGAAGAGTCGGCGCGTTGGTGCGCGCTGGAGTTCCGGCGTTTTTGCTCGCGAAACCATTGAGGGCTTACACGTTGACGCACTCTAAAATGGGTAAATTATTTTATTTATAAACTATACTATTCTTCTCGTGTGTATCTACAGACACTGCGTCTGTTGTGTGCTTAAACTATTTTACATATAATTCCAAAACTCTCTTTACATTACGCAGAGTATTTATATTCAATTATAATATTCATTGGATATTATTAATCGTTAAACAAACCTCGATAATGTGATGTATTTTTTCGTTTAACGAGATCTAAGACTACTGTAACATTATTTAGATTATTCTCTATTTGCACGCGCGTCCTCTTTCTGACGAGTGTTAACCGGATAGAGATTATCCACATATCTCGCATCTGGCATCTGAGTCGAGTTATTATTTCGGCCAACCCAAGTCTGCATTTTCCATGGGCCAACTGTCACGATTGCGATTATCACCCGCTGCGATTTACCTGGAAATGCAGTCCGTTACAAGTATAAACCGCGATTCACATAACTAGCACAGTCTAGATTATTTTAAAATGACGATTTGCAACTAATGTAAAAGTGAATAACGAAACATCTATTTTCTTACATCTGTTTAACAATAGCATAAGGATGATTTAATTTTTATAATTATGTAAAATTCTTGTGATTTTGTAATTAATTTAGATATTTTATTCGAGCAGAATAATAATTTATTTAGGGTTTAACGTCCTATATAACTTTATGCATAGGCGCGTACATAGTATCTCGCCTCGCTCGGATTATTTTCCTCAGAGTGCAGCGACTGGCCATGACACGAATGTCAATGTGTCCGTAATGTGCGGTTCTTGTTCGCACCGTCGGTCGTGCATTTAAACGCAAGTCGAGCTTTACGCGCGACAGGCGCGTAACGTAATAGGTATGCGGCTCAGTGAAAGCTGTCCCTTGCGACACGCGTGCATAAGTAGCTGCAAATGCGTGTACACAGCTCGTGGCGCGAGAATTATATCATTATACGCACTGCCATAACAATTATGATCGCGGCGGAAAACGGGGGATTCCTTCGATTCATCCTGCTCCTCCTGGTCCTTCTGACGCCTCCCAAACATGTCACATCAGTGTCCGTTACGCCACGCGTTTATTGACGTTAATTGCTTGCCACCCCGCTTTTCATGCTTGCTATGGCTTGTAACGTCGCAACGGTACGAGGTATACATCGTTGATTTGATATGGAAATCTGTACGTTCCTCGAATATCAAAATACGTAATGTATCAAGCAGCTGATTAAGCTATATATATATAATCATCTCAGAAACGTGTGGAGATTTCTCTGACAAGACATTTGTTGGATAATGCTATGTAAAGAAGGAGATTTCTACATACACATTGTAATTTAATTAAAGTTTTAAAATCTACGAAATATTAAAAAATCATGTTAGAAAAAAAAATAAATAGAGAAAAATAAAGAGTATGGCACTTAATTTTCTCATTATCGAATAAATTTCTATCTACTTTTCTTGGTTGATTTTAATATTTTAGTATATAATCGAGACATTCTATTATTCTACGAGCTAATTCTCAGTATTATCACAACATCTGATTCAGTACGTTGCATGACGTTATGTATAATATGACAATATTGCCTATGCAAATACATGGATGGAATAACGTTAATAAGCTAATTAACGCTAATGAGCTAATTATCAGGGTTATTAATTCGCGTGCTTTCACACAACAAAGCACTTTTTGCCAGCGCCAATTAAATATAAGATAACGACGATAATTTTCTTGGTATTTAACTTGATGACGTATTAGACACGCACTTTAATTAATTGCCTCTATAAATTGTTTCTAGACATACACATAAACATCATAAAAATTAGCTCAAGCTTAATCTTCTGTTCTTTCTACAGTTTTTTAAAAGAAGATAGTGAATCGGTTAAATCTCAATTAAGTTCCACTAATGTTTGCGAAAGTGGTACGTTTATTTTTGATCGATTTCTATCGTGCAGAGAATGGAAACTTGCGAGCCCACTACACGAAGACGACGGTGCGCGCTGGCGAAGTCCTGCGACTGACCGCCGTCTTCCAGGACACACGTCGGGCTCCGGTAGCCAGTGGCATGTCTGGAATGATCCCGGAAGGCAAATCCTCGAGGTCCTCGGAGAGGGATCAGTACGCTCAGTGCTTGGACTCTCATGGGCACGAGCTGTTTGCGCCGCTCTCGGCCAGAGGCGAGTTCTACGCGATCTGTCAGAGCGGTAGCCTCGACACCGGCAGCGACGCGGTACTTTATAGAGTTCACCAACTCGCCAGGAGGGATCTTCCCCTGAGGGTAAACTTCGTCTCGTCTTATAATTAATGTCGTATAACGCGGTCATTCTTATCTATTTCTCGTCACCCGTTTCTTTCTCATAACAGGAGATGTTGTCGTCATTTTATATAACACTAATGAAAATAAGAAAGTGTATAAATTAATAAGAATTAATTTTATACAACAAAACATAAATATTTTATTATTGTATACGAGCACTTTATTTTTCTTTCTTGTATCTAATTCTTCTTTTTTCAAAATTATATACCTATAATTTTTTCTTGACCAAGAACTCGCGTGCATGATCTTCAGGTACGTCTGGTTGCTGGACCTCTACCCATACCGCTGCCTCGAGATTACAGCGGTCTGATGCAGTTGGAGAACGCGAATAGAGGGCCCATAGTTCTCGGCTGCGCGGTGCCGTTGATGCCCGAAAGACCCTTACCCAATTCCACGGTACCGGAGCTCTTGGAACTTGTTGCTACCGGCCCAACCGCGCCACGAGTGAAAAGAGCACGATTAGGATGCCCTTCCGAGGCGAGATTGCTCGCATCTCCGAAAATGCAGCGATTACTCTCAGCCTGCAGGTAAAAATCGCGATTGCATGAAGAAATCTAATTTGTACAGCATTATATATTAATTATTTAGATACATACTAACAGGAAATCTAAAAGTTTGAATTAATAAAATCACTAATATAAAATGTATTTTAAAATATTAGCTTGAGAAAATAATAGTATAGTAAACAGAAGATTCTTTTTTGAATATTTATTAAGTTTATGACGGATGAAGAATTAATTTAATTAATTCAGTTCGTTTTTTAACATATTATTAATTTCAGAATAATAAGAATTTTGTGAATTCGATTCTTAATGAGATCAAGAATTTTTTAAAATTATTTTTGTACTGTCAAATAGCTTATATACGTTATATATGAAAGATAAGATGAGGCCATTTTGATATCGCTTTATAGAAGAGCCTTAGATCAACGGGCGACCGAACCGCGAGTCGCTCCGCCGAAACCGGCGTCCAACAACAGTCAGCTGAAAGAGCTGCACTTGAAGGAGATTAAAGCGAAGCCTGACGCGAAGCCGATATTGCAAAGTTTAAAGGAAGGTTTGGAGCATATCAAGAAGACGACGATCCGCGACCGAAGCAACAGCCGCAGTGTCAGCAGTAACAATAGCTTCCTCGACAGGATCTCGAGGATAGCTCAGGGTGGCAGAAGCAGGAATCCGGCCAAGAAGTCAGCGTCCTTCACGTTCGCCGTACGGCCGGAGATCGGTATGCGATCGCCCGAGAGATACGCCAGTCTCGAATCGGAAACGAATCTGATGCAGGCAGCGCAGGCGTCGTCCAGGCAACAGGTGCAACGTTCGATCTCGACCAGTGTCCTCGAAGTGACTAGCAGCACGGAGATGGACCCGCCGTATTCCAAGGTTAGAGATAGCTTGACGCCGTTGCCTCCCACGCCGCCGCCAAAACCGGAAGAGATCTACGCCGAAATCTGCGAGCTGGGCAGCGGCAGTGGTCCGTTGCGAAATTCATCGCAGGAGGAGGAGAAACTACCTCTCCCGGGAAGAAACGGCACCAGAGAGCGAGATCGGGGTTACGTGAAACTTGCGCTGTCTCATTCCGAGGTGTCCGACATCTCGACGAGCACTGGCGATGATGAAGAAGGCATTTACAATACTGTGTGTTGAGTGCGCGTCTTTTTTCGTTTTTTCCGTCGGGGATAGACTCAATATCTGAATTGTTTATAGTAATTGACCTCATGGTCAATCGGAACAAATGACGTGACGTGTAAAAAATCGAGAGGTCGCGAAAATTCTTGAGCATAGCTGCGAATATCGACCAACTATAATCGCGAATGATATTGGTTTATTTTGTAAAAATTATTTGGAGATCTCTAATATTAGAACGGTCGAGTTAGAAAATTTTTGTAAATATTTCTTTAGTGGCAAAGAATATAAAATTCAAGTATCTTAGATTGAAAATTTATTTTACAAGATTGAAAACTATTCTCTTCAGTATTCTCACTGATTCTCGAGCGTTCTACTATTAAGGAGGCGAAACGGAAATATACGGCACTTTTTCCGGGTTGAAGAGAAAACACCAGGAGTCGGAAGCGATATATCGATCGCGTCTGAGAAAGATGAGGATCGAGATTAACCGTCGCCGAGGAAATTGCTCCGCTAGCAGTTTCTTTCGTCGCGGGAGGATCCGAGTGTCGAGGAGTCGCCGATACGAGCGTCTTACATAGGATACCGCGCGGAATGATTTACAAGGCTGTTGGAACCGAGGAAAATGATGCCGTAATTACGGGCCCCGGTACACGCTGCTGCAGCGGATGTAGCGGGGCACGCCAGCCGGGCCCAGCACGCAGCAACGCTTCTTCGTGGCTTCCGTCATTAAAGAATCTGTCGTCTCGCGAGAGGCATGTTAATAGTAGCGGGCTCCGCGATTACCTCGACCACAGCCGCTAGGTGACATTAATATCGGAAAATCGCGCTCAAAAAATAACCCGTTCATCATTGAAAATTGTCAATTATTTGATCCTAAAGCAAACGCATATTTGTTTTGTCAGGTCAATCGAAATTTGAGAGTCAATCAAATTCAGATTTTTCATTACTGAAAATTCCATTAGGCACAAAGCTCCTCTCCCTCTTATTTAAAATTTAGATTAACACTTCAAAGTCACAGTTTTGTGTCACGGATTTAATTTAATGTTATCGATAATGATTTTTGTGATCGTTTTACACGGTCTTAAATTCAGTCTCGACAATGTAAGAACACGATGCGACGAGTGGAATATTCTAGAATGGATGATAACGCGTTATGTTATATCACGTACGAGGGGAACGTGAAACGGATCGTTGAACGTCGATCTAAACTTCCCGAACACGTTCGAAGCCAGTGTGTATCACGGAACACGCAACCAACGCGGCACGAAGAAGTCGATGGTAGAATGTAAACGAGCCAGTCGGCAGCTTTTAGGAAGAGGAAATTACTGGCGTCCTTCGAAGGTCTAGGTCATCATCGGGATCGTTGCTTCGGAACGAGGTAGTCGACGGCAACGGCCTGATCGTCGAGTCGAATCGTGCCGAGCTTGCTCGTTTGATCGAGTCGATATTTTGTGACGATTAATTCATTAGCTTGTCACGCTTCACGGCATTTGGCTTCCTTTTCGATGTACGATGACCCCGAAGTTTCGCGCGCTCTCGCGCCCGATTGCGTGACGTTGCGCGATTGGCTGTTAAACGCGTGATTACAAACCTCGCCAGTGCATAGCAGACATTGCGTTCGAAACGCTTCGAGGAAACCGGCAGATCTCCTGTACCTTTCTCTTTTGCTCCCTACTTTTTTCTCTTTTTATCTCTCTCTATCTCTTTCTCTCGCATGACGAAGCGCTTGGAGCTGCCAGTACGAGCGAGGATGATGAAGAAAGGGCGTAAAAATCGAGGGAACGATGGGCTCCTAATGGGAAATACCCGCGGGAGAAGGCGAAGAAACCGGGACTCGCTTGCTGAAGCTTCTCCGAGGATCCTAACGGGTGTAATCTTGTCTAATTCGACGTCTTCGGCGCCCCTTCTTCCCATTCCCTTCCTCCAAATCGCGTGCGCGCGATAATGATGTAATATTTGTAGGTTTTGTGTATATTCAAATGAAGTCGTTAGTGGAAATAAAGACAGAGCGTTTCTACAACAAAATACAACGTCGTAAAACATATTCCTTGTTAACGTTAGAGTAAAATCATCTTGAATTTGCAGCAAAAATTTACAGGTAAGTGATTGTTTAAGATATAACGAGATTCATATCGTGACATTTTTGTCAACAATAAGATTGTAATACTTAATAAAATTGTTCCCAAATTTTATATACTCTAATATATTATTTATATACTCTAATATATTATTTTTATAAAAGCTATTATATTACTACTATTATAATTTATTTTATAAATTGTTAATATAAATTTGTGATATAGAGAAATATTCAGCGATATATTGCAAGTGACAATATAATCCATCGCTTATAAATGATTTCATATTCATATTTAAAGAATAATTAATTTCACATTCATATTAGAAAAAAAATATGCAATATAATTATGATGTATCTCGTAATATTATTTCACTGTTGTTTTGCAAGAAAAACAAGTAAAGTACTCTTTTGTTATCTTGTCTCATTATCATTAAGTATTCCATTTAACGAGTGATATATATGGAGATATCCACTTTCTCACCGGCTAGCGCATGTTCGTCATTATTCACTTCGTCCGGCTCACCCACGATCGCGAGCGTAGAAAATTCACGACTAAATACACCGCGCACTTTAAGGAATAATAACGCAAAACGATCGTCAACGCTCGCGCCGGCTATTGGTCATTAATGTTTTTACGAGCGAGCACAGTACGCACAGCTGCGTCTATTCAATTATAGCGAAGAGAGGGGTTCAGACGTACAGGTCCAGCGACCCCCTGGCATACCTCTCTCGTCTCTCTCTCTCTCTCTCGAGCCTTGGCTCATCCCCCGCGTCCATCTTTGCCGTCCTCTTGTCCCTCTTATTTCTCTTTCGAGCGCGGCAACACGCATTTACGTCCATTAATATTAACGGCTCGAAACAACGATAATAACGGGGAGCTATGGGGAAGCAGAGAGGTGTTCTCTTCGACGGTCACGTCGTGCAACACGTCGGCCCTTTCGCATAGCTCACGTGACCGTTGCATGCATCATTCTCGCCGCGGAGATCGACAATGCCAGGGACGATGCCAAGAAAATGCGACGATGATTTTTATCGTCAGGTAAGTTCACGGTTCTCTCTCTGAGATTGTCTAGAGACTATACTGTTACGACGAAGAATATTATGAGAACTGAAAGCTTTTGTCTTAAAAAATATTTCTACTCTTGCTAAAATACTTTAGATGTCTATCATTAATGTTTCATATTAATTTAAAATGTGAAATCAGAATTTTATAATGATACTAAAGTATAACGACTTCTGTATTTTCTTCTTCTAAAGTAATTACGCAAGACAAGATTAAAAAACGAGTAATGCTCCATTACTGATTATCGTAGAAATGAATTGATGACCGTGCAAAACATGACGCGGTGCACAATATACAAGACCAACAATATAGGTTAGCGTGATACAAGGTGGATTAAGAAACGCGATAGCAAGAGCAGCTGTTTCACATTTCAAGACGCTATTATTATCATAATTATTACTATCGTTATCGTATCCTGAGCAAATATCGTGCCGAACACGGCGTAGATCGATCGGGACAACGCATGGGGCGCTATCGAGATCCGGCAATCTCTGGTCCACGCGGGTGCATATTTCAAGATCGGCATGCGTGAACGGTCTCAGGGCCGTCGGGTTGCTTTTGCGGTTGTGTATAACTCGGCTTTACTGCGGCTAATGCGACGGACACGGAGCGCGAAGTATCGTATTTCGCGAACCCAGGTCGACCGATCGTGGAGGCATGTTTTAATATGCAAATTAAAATGCAAATAAAGCACTCCCTCCTCGTCTCTTATTCGCATCCGTTGTCTACCATTCCTCTCTAGGCGCATCTTGCACGATCGTCATCCCTCATCCTGTAGCCTGAGGACTAGGTCGTATCTTTTTTGTCGCTGCACAAGGTTTTATCCTACTTTCTATTTTTTTTATTTTGTTCCTTGTTTATCCGGTATTCAGTTGCCCACCTAGAACGCAGATCGGTTTTCGAATCATCTATTTATAATATCCACAAAGATATATATATAAGCTAAAATTGTTATAATTTATTAAATTAATTTTAAAAAAGTTCAAATTAAAAAATTTTGTTAGATACTTTAATTGTTTATATATGAAGAAAATATTATTTGATATTATTCGTGCATACGCGTTATTGAGTATCGCTTTGATACCGCAAGGATCAAGGATCAAGGATTACTATACGTATTGTTTTCGCAAGTTCAATATTATCACATACGATGGATTAAATCTGTAACGTTACATGTGTACATCTTCCCTGAATGACGATGTAAAAGGATTATATGGAGAGTAGCCGGATGCGAACAGGACGGATCCTTGAGCTATCGTATGCGTAATGTCTTCATTCAGCCCGACTCCTATCATAATCTCCCGGTGATGAACGAGCGCCCTTTATGTGAGGACGCAGAACGGAGCGAGATTAAACGAAGAGTCATCAATAGGCCGGTCGCATTAAACGACTTGCGTGTACATGCCGGGAAAAATAGGAACGAGTCAATTAGTCGCACTCTACCTGTCCAATCTGTCACAATATACAAAACTTCGTCTTTCTCTTTCTTTTTCCTCCCTTTCTCTCACCTTCTCCTTTCTCTCTATCGCTATTCAGGATCACGTGCCGCGGGCGAGATATCTCTGAACTCTAGCCACGTTTTACGGGCACGGTTAACAAATAGCGTGTCGCTGAATGTATCGCTGCGCAATGTTATCGCACCCCGACGTCGACAAAAATTAAGCGCTGCAATTATTTATAAATGTCTCGTGAAACTCGCCAGCTATTTCGGTAGCCGAGTTTTGCGTAAGTGCGTTGTACCCGAGCCCATATAAGTCCAACGTCGTCGATGATCGGTAATATATATCTGTCGTAAAATCGATGCGCATCGAATAAAACCTGTGATCAAAATTGCGAGCGACAGGTGGATATTCATGAATCTTCTTTAATAAAAAATATTATACCTTTTACCGTATATAATAATTTGCTCAAGCAAAGTAAAATTTTATGTTTTTATAATCTTCAAGTATCTCTTATCTCTCATATTTTGTGAGTTACAATCGCATAAAATAATATTTTGAAATTTAATATCTACATATCGACACAATGTGCGCAATCAATCTTTGTTACACAATTTAAGCGATTACATGACTTACTAATCAAGCGATATCGTGACACGCATGCGACTATGTGTTACGCGTGACATAATCGGCTTGCAGGAGAAACAGACCGGCTATAGTCGGCCGACAAACGCAACAGCGAGAGCAATGTGTGATGCGCCTCGCTCGTTACAGCAGCATTGGAATCCCCGTTAGATGACGGGAGAAGATATACCTCGTTCAGTGTCCGGCGCTTTGCGCGTGTCCAATGCATACTAAGTAGTTCTAGAAAATATCGGTTATCGGTAGAAAACTCGTAGCCGAGTCTGAGCGAAGAAAATGAATGAATCAGCCAATGGCTTCTGGCTGGTCCTTTAGTCTGCCAATTTGAGTGTTTATATGTATATATGTATGTATATTCATTATCACTTACATACTTTAGACTCTGTTAGACGCTATAATATATTAACGTTTAGATACGTTTAGCCATTATAATAATATGAAACGATCACTATTCACGATAAGTAATCATATCTGTTGTATGCGTTTATTTAATAAAAATTTTTGTCTATTTTGTCTACATTTTATAAGTTTGATAGTTTCAACATTTTTTTGAAATCTTTTGTGCCGAAATTTATTATCTTAATTTTCGTTTATCTAAATCATTGTTTGAAGAATTTAAGAAATTGGGTATCAATATATTTTCATATACATAAAAAGGACGTTGTATAAAAAATCATTATTTTATTAATATTCATATTTATCTTTTTTATAAAAAATTATGATATAAAAGAAAATGGATCCGAAAATCTAAAATATTTTGAATTGAGCATTTTACGTATAGATACACTGTAAGTCTAACTTTTTCTTATATTCTATATTATAAATGCCCTTGCGTTAAACACCGTGTCTTTGATATTGTCGTGATATTGTAATAATTCGCGTGATTGTATACAGTTGCATTGTTGCAAGTCCGTAATGGTGCGGACTCTGGGGTGATAGTGAGAGGAGAGGAAGATTGCGATGGAAAAGAGTGTGGTGAGATGAAGAAAGAGAAGAGGAGAGTACGTTGGCGTCGCCTGGAATGCCCGCGAACCACGAACGATCTGCTGATACAACGGGTTTACCTTTTACAGCCTACCGATCGTTTCACTTCAACTGCACCTTCAATATCCGCGCGTTATATATTTCCCCAACCCCCTTTATCGAGTCGCATTGCTGTTTTTACTACCTCAAAAATTAATCGTCTTTTCTCGCAACGCACGCAACTTTGATATGATATATACTATGATTAATTTAATTATTAGCTATCACGTATTATCAATGGGAAGGAGACTTAATTAAGGAGTATATTATATTAAGAAAATCTTATTTTTTCCTTCGTTCCTCGACAACACGCGAGATAAACTACATTTCTTCATAGATTATTGAGCTTGATTGCGCTTTAGTTTAATCCTTAACGGTTGATTTACGATTAGATAGCAAATCCAGAAGACATCTCATTAGTAACAAGCATATTTTTCTATCGCTTCTTCTATCTTTTTCTCCTGTTTTTGATAAAATCTAATTTTAAATATTTAAATTTAAAACAAGATATATTAGCTATTGAAATATATGCGAAGAAAAAATTTAAATTTTAAGGGTGAGACTCGAATGCTTTAAAATAAATTTGTATATAGAGGAAGTTATATATTTCTTTCTTTTCTTTCTCGTTTGAAATAATACTGAAAGCAATATTCTTTCTATGTGTTTAATTTTTCCAATTATTTAGATTCTGAGATATTTATATAGCACATATAAAATTTATTTTATATCATATTTCTTTAGAATATCCTAATAATAAATAGCAAGAACTTTGGAAAATCTAAATGATCGTAGGCCGATTATGGAATTTGGCACAACGAGATGCGACAGTAATGAAACGTTTCGCGATTAAGTAACATCGCGGTTCTCCGAG